CCATCCATCCATCCATCCACCCACTCATCCATCCACCCACTCATCCATCCATCCATCCACCCACTCATCCACCCATTCATTTATCCATCCATCCATCCAACCAACCAACCATCCATCCATCCATCCATCCATCCATCCATCCATCCATCCACTCATCCATCCACCCACTCATCCATCTGTTCATTTATCCATCCATCCATCCACTCATCCATCCACCACTCATCCATCCATCTGTTCACTCATCCATCCACCCACTCATCCAGCCATTCATTTATCCATCCATCCATCCATCCATCCACTCACTCATCCATCCACCCACTTATCCATCCATCCATCCACCCACTCATCCATCTGTTCATTTATCCATCCATCCACCCACCCACCCATCCATCTATTCATTTATCCATCCACTCATTCATCCATCCACTTTTTCATCCACTCATCCATCCATCAATCTAAACACTCATCCACCCACCTACCTACCCATCCACCCATCCGTCCATCCTTTTGTTCAACCACTTATCTATCAATCCAAACATTAATCTATTAATCTATCAATTCATTATCCACTCATCCATCCATTATTCACTCATCTATCCATCCATTCATCATCCATCCATCCAACCAATCATTCATCCACCTATTCATTCATCATCCATCATCCATCCATCTGTCCATTCATTCATGAGGCACCATTAGGTAATCTAGCAGACTCTGGGTAGAATTCCTCACTTAACCAGATGCAAAAGTTGCCTCTGAATACACTGGAATATCAACTTTAAAACACCTTAGTTCCAATGACTGTATCAACTTTTGGCCTAAGCCCAGCCAGGACCATGGGGACAGAGAGAGGGCATTGCCTCTGACAGCAGAGGGGACACTTACGATCGAGTCCGTTCAAGTAGCGCATTCGGATCTCACAGTGGCCCCAGACGGCACTCACTACAGGATACAGTTTTTTGCCCTTGAGTCCCCGAAAAGCCACTCCCATGTACTGTCCATCCACAATGAAGCTCAGCGTCCCATCGTCCATGTCCAGGGCTACCAGGAAGGAGTCAGGGACAATGAATGTCTCATCTGGTTCCAGAAAGGCTGGGTATGTTTTGCTTGGCTGGTTCTTGCCATCATGGTAGAGCCGGTTGCGCCCCAAATCCCAGCCCCAGGACTCGTGATTATTCCCCACGAGGGTAGTGTACCCGACCGAGTGCAGGGGGGCGTCTGCCGTCGCCACCCCCACCACGGCGTGTGTGCCCCGCTGTCTCATAGCCCATGTGATCTGCCACACGTGCAGCCCACGGGTATACCCGACTTTGCCCCTGATAGCGTCTGTGCTCTGGGCCACCGGATGCCGGTGAAAGATGAGTTTGTCGTCTTCCTTCACGAAGACGTTGAGCGACCGGTCGTTGTTGTTCCACGAATGCAGCAGCTGGACGTCGTAGGACACAGGGGGCATGTCCAGTAGCAGATCCAGGCGGGTGGGCTTGCAGTAATCCAGACCCTGGAGCTCCTGCTTCAGGGGCCGGTACGTGGGGTCCCTCATGTCCACAGTCTTGATCCCTCCAGTAACCTTCTGACCCATGTTCGCCCTGGTTTCACCTTCTCACCGAATCCCAAGGCAAACTCATCAATCTCGTGGTCTCGTCTCCAGTATTCTGATCGGGGCCAGACAGAATTCCTAAGGCGGGCTGCCAGGAGACCTCTGCAAGCTGCACAGCGTTCAGTATTGCCTAATGGACGGAAAGACAAACAACCGGTGAGCAGGGCTGCGGGATGAAGGGGAAAGTTAACCCGGAGGTCGAGGCGACCACATCAGCACGTCCCGGAAGCCTGCACCTGGGCTCCGTCATGCCTGACATGGACAGGCTGGAGTCTTGGCGTGGAATGAAATCCCCCGTTCCCTGGCTAGTTTGTCACAAAGGAAAGGGGCTGTCCGTCCACCCGGCAGACTGCACGGAGAGGTGGGCTTGGGGGCTGCGCGTCACCCTCATCTGTATTGGGTGCAGACATACGGCTGATGCCCACCAAATACCTCATCAGGGTTCCACAGGACGGCAGGCCATGGTGTCACAGAACCAGGACTCAGCCACGACAGTGGGCATCTGCTTGGTCAAAACAGAGGGAGGTGGTTGGCCCTTGCCTTGCTGTTCAGAGGGGAAGTGGAGCCCCAGGTAGCAGCAGAGGCTGTGAGGATGCCAATCCCAGCTCCTCCTCCCTGTCTCTGTCTCTGTCACAGCCACCTCCAGCAGACGCACCACCAATTCACTCCAGAGAAGGGCTCTCTGGTGCAGTCGGACGGTTCAACTCAGGCGTCTGTGTACGCTTGGCGGGAAGGGCCCCAGGAGCCTCCTCCGCCAGCAACATTCTTCTCAAGGGCAGGCCTCGATTCAGACAGCATGGGGGGCTCATCCCCCGACCCCCAGGAGTTCTTAGATGACTGACCACCTCTTTTTCCTGCCCACACCCTTCAACTAGAAGCCAGGGTTTCGCCCTCTGGGTCTCAACAGCACGTCTAGGGAGGAGAGTCCAACGCTAAGATGCCTCGTTCCCTCTCTGGCCTCACCATTCCCTGGGTCCTTCAGGAGGGAGAACAGGGACTCCGGGATGGGGGAGAGATCTCACTGCATCATCTACCCCATCCTCTCCACTGGCAGCCCAGGAAGAATTCTTTTTTTTTTTTGAGACAGAGTCTTGCTCCGTCACCCAGGCTGGAATGCAGTGGTGTGATCTCGGCTCACTGCAACCTCCACCTCCTGAGTTCAAGTGATTCTCCTGCCTCAGCCTCCGGAGTAGCTACGATTACAGGCACCCACCACCATGCCTGGTTAATTTTTGTACTTTTAGTAGAGACGGGGTTTCACCATGTTGGCCAGGCTGGTCTTGAACTCCCTGACTTCAAGTGATCCACCTGGCCTGGCCTCCCAAAGTGCTGGTCAGGAAGAGTTCTATCCAAGGAGGAGAAGGCAGCAGAAGATTTGAGCCTCGTTCAAGAGAGAAGTTTCTTTCTGCCATCAAGAGCCTCTTCGGTCTCTGGAAGGGACCAGAGAGGCCAGGGAGAGCAGCCTGGTTTGAGGTCAGGCTCCCAGGATCCACCAGGCTAGGGGCAAGGCAGGCTCCTGGCTGAAGAAACGGTACTAAAGGAGCCTGCAGGGGGTGCCTGGGCGGTAGGCCATCGGAGCCTTGGCTGCCGGGAGAGAGTCATGCTGGGTCGCTTGTTACTAGGGTGCCCAAGTAAAGGAGACAAAGAGAATCCAAAGGAACCCGGGGTGGGGGAGGCCGTGGGCTCCCAGACACAGGGAAATCCAGGAATCTCCAAGGGCTGGCCTCCCCGTTCAGTGTGGGGCCAGCCAGGCCAGGCTCTGCAGTGGGGCTGGCCTCCAGCTCCCTCTCAGCTGGGAAGAGGCCCCACGAGACCCTGTCCCCGGGGCGGCCAGGCCTCCAGGAAGTTTGGTCCTGGCAGAACCTTCCCATGTGGGAACCCTTGGTGCCCCGACCCCCTTATCTCAGGGGCCAGGTCATGCTTCTCGCCCTCCCCTTTCTGATGTGAGACAGAGGGTTCTTTTTTTTCTTTTTTTTTTTTGAGATGGAGTTTTGCTCTTGTTGCCCAGGCTGGAGTGCAATGGCGCGATCTCATCTCACTGCAACCTCCGCTTCCTGGGTTCAAGTGATTCTCCTGCCTCTGCCTCCCAAGTAGCTGGGATCACAGGCACCCACCACCGCACCCAGCTAATTTTTTCTATTTAGTAGAGGCCAGGTTTCACCATGTTGTCCAGGCTGCTCTCGAACTCCTGAGCTCAGGTGATTCACCCACCTCGGCCTCCCAAAGTGCTGGGATAACAGGCGTGAGCCACCACGCCCAGCCACAGACAGAGAGTTTTGATCTCAGAGGCACGGTCATCTCTTCAGAGACAGGGTAGGACTCCTTGTGTCCAGTGTCTGCAAAACCATTAGAGCGGAGGTGCACTCTCTGCAGCCTGGAGGGCCGCCCTGGTTCCAGAAAGTTCTGTGAATACTGTGACCTCACATCCATGATCTCCCAGGAAAATCCCATTTTCAAGCTTTCAGTTCCATCTCCTCTCCTGGGAGCCACTGAAACCTCTAGGACTCCCTCTATGCTGCTGCAGAGGGGCACCCCGTGGCTCTGGGGCCTGCGCCTCAAGCTGCGGGAGCGGGAGAGAGTTAGGTCTGATGTGGCGCCAGTGTGGCCTTCCCTGAATTCCCCTCTTCCCCAACCTCCACTGGAGCATTTTCTGAGCTGTAGGAAGGCCGGGCCGAGGCGGCTCTGGAGGTCAGAGCTGCAAGGAGTAGGGGCGAAGAGGACAACTCCCATCTCTGTCTGGACACCCCCTCCAGCTTGGTGCCCAGGAACCTCTCCATATTCTCAATTCCGCAGGGTCTTGTGGGCACAGAGGTCAGCTCTCTGGGAGGACGGGGCGCGAATTACTTTCTAAGAGAGCTAGTTCATGTCACGCTTCCTGCAGCGTAGCCCCTCCACAGCCCCCCTGCCGCTCAACTGTCGCAGCAGGGAGGACCTTTCTCCTGGGATCTCGTCTGTCATGGAAGATCCGCCCTCTCTCCACGTGTGGGAGCAGGTGGGAAGAGTGGGGAGGAGGCTGGGGGAGGGAGGGGAGAGTGGGAGAGAAAGGTGGCGGGGAGGGGTCCTCTAGCAGGTAACTGAAAATGCTAGGAGGGACCATAACAGGGAGGTTGAGGGGGGAAGAGGTGAGGAGAGCAACACCTCAGAGGGGGAGAAAGGGTGAAGTGGGGTGAGACGGGGAAGGACGGGGAGGGAGCGGAGGGAGGGGAGGGAGCTCTCAGGCTAATAAACCCAGGCCTGAACACACAGAATGCCTGTCTCAGCGAGACCGGAGATCAGTTTTTTCTGAAATGGGCGAGATAGTAAATGCCTGGCTTTGAGGGCCAGACAGTCTCTGCTGTTGTCGCGCAAAAGCAGCCACAGACGGGACATAAATAAACGCGTGTGGCTGAGTTCCAGAAAACTTTATTTATAAGGACAGGCCGGCCTGGGGTCTGCCAGCCAGAGCTTAAGACACAGCCCTGTGGGGCTGGGGCAGGCATTAGCCGGATGGTGGTGTGGTGGGGGGGGGAGGTCCCTGGAGTCTGGGCCAGCCTCATCCCAGAAAGAGCCACCAGAAAAGGGTGGCTTCACCCCGACGTGGGACATCCACTGTCTGTCTGTCCAGGTCGGTTCCACAAGCTCTCCTAGTTTTGAGATGCCATCACCTCAGGTGGCCCAGCAAGTCCTCAACACCAATGCTGGGCTGAGCTCCCTAAACCTAACCCGAACCGCCACCCCTCCACCTCCACCCACCTTCCCCCTACCCCCTCACCCCGGCCCAGGCCTTGGATCACATGGCTGTGAGGGGTGGGGGTCTGTGGGAGGGAGGGCCTGGGAGGAGGGAGGCTGGGGAAAGAGGGTGGGGCGTTTTCCCTGGGCAGGGCAGGCAGGTAAAGGGCCTGCAGCACTGTGGGGTGACTTCCTCACAAGGGCACCCTAGGGAATGTGGCCCACCCACCCGGCCACTTCTGCCATCTGAGTCACCACCCAGGCGGTCAATCACTGTGGTGGCCCTGGGGCTACTCTTGACTCATCTGTCACCCGCCCTGTGTCCAGGCTATGGTTAAAGATGACAGTGCCTTCCCACCTTCCTGTTGTCCACACCTAGCCACCTCCTTGCTGTGCAGGAACACTGAAACCATCCATCTGTCCTCCTCCTTCTATTTTAAAATGTGGCCGCACAGATCCACCCTTCCTGTGGGTCCCCAGGAGCTGGACTCGCCACCTCCCCTGGAACTGCAGCCCGGCGGGCGCTTCCCCAGCCCTGTTTCCTGAAGATTCCAAGCTCATGTGCCGAGACAGTAGCTCCAGCCACCAAGATCCACCCTGAGGGCGCTGGCGTCACTGCATTTCCACTTTCATTTATTTCCTAGCCTGTGCTCCATTCACTGAACAAAGATCACTGTTCTCCCGTCTTCCTTGTCACCACATCTGGCCCGACAGAGGGACGCTGCCTTTGGGCCAAGACCCAAGGACTTGGAAGGCTGGGTTAGGGCAGACCAAGTTTAAGGTCCCTTCTAAACCAGGGGTCAGCAAACTTCTTCCATAAGGGGCCAGATAGTAACCATTTAAGGCCCTCTGGACAATATGTAAATGAATGGGCATAGGTGTGTTTCAATAAAACTTTATTTACAAAAATAGACAGCGGGCCAGATTTGGCCCAGGAGCTGTAGTTTGCCGACCCCTGTTGTAAACCCATGGAAAATTGCTAATACGATCACCATAATTCCTGGACATGGTGCTCAGGATGGGGGGTGTGTACCACCCACAGGTGCCGAGTGACATTCACAGGTGCCTGGATGGCTCCTGTTAACACTGGACCGAGACGGACATCCCTGGGCCTGGAGGGCATCCAGCACTGGGCACCACACTTCAGGCAGGAGCTGGGAGAACAGTACAGGCCCCCGCTCTGGGAATACCTCCACTTACTGCTGCTCTGAGAAGCAAATGCAGATGCCTAGGCCTTGTGGGGCCCAGCAGCACCAGAGAAGCTTCGGGGCCTGGCATTGCTGAGCAGTTGGTGAGTTTCCAGGAGGTGGGAGGACTCAGCCTTCATCCCCACCCAGGAGGAGCAAAGTACAAGCCACAAAGGGCGTGGCTTGTACTGCCCTGCAGGGCTGGAA